TCTGCGTCCAACATCTCTTCTGTGCTGACATTGCGGAGTCCGTGCCCAGGCTTCCACACCTGCGTGCATTGCTCGCAGATCTTGCTGTCCAGTGCTTTGAGCACTGCCAAGTGTGCTCCTTTGCACAGTGCGATTGCATTGCTAAAGATGCGTCGCTTTGCCTGGAGCCACGACTCGCAAATATTAACCTCTGCAATGCTGAGCGTCGGTGTGTCATCGAAGAGTGCGGAGCTGATGAGCTGTGCCTCGGTGCGGACGATGCGGTGCGCCTTGGCCTCAATGATCTCCGTATACTGGCGTTGCGACATGCGAAATTGCCAAGGTATGTACTTGATGCGGGGCTGTGCGGGGTCTTTAAACCATGCATGCACCATGCTGAGCAGGCGGATGCTGGGCGTGCTTGTGCTGTCCAAGAGCTCTCCTGGGTAGGCCTCCTTGAAGTCCGCCACGAGCTTTGCGACGGTGTCGTTGTCCAGGCGTTGCGGTGCGTGCTCCACCCAGGAGTCTGCCGGCGGCGCAGAGCTGGCTGAGGGTGCAGAGCTTTGCGTTGCAGACTCTTCAGTGCGTTGCATCTCGTTCTCGTATGCTTTGACACGAATTTGCGATTGGACCAGTGCGCGGCGCAGGCGTGCCATGCTGTGCAATGGCTCTGTCACTTGCAGCGCCGTCCAAAACTCCTCGTCCTTGGACGTTGCGAAAGAGTCCAAGTCTGCGGTGCTGTTATAGGCGTACGCAAAGTCTGCGATGCAACAGATGCCTTGGGCTCGCAGTGCCTGGTGCATTGCATCGGGGACACAGAGCTCCCGCAGGATGCGTTGCAACCCTTCTTCGTTGTTCAACTCGTCGTGGACAGAGTGCGTTGCGGTGCTAGGAGCTTCCGCTCCCGATCGCGTGGCCATGCGAGCAGTGCAATACTATGTGATCTTAAAATTCGCCGAAATGGAGTGTATGTGTGTGCATGCAATGTTGTTGGTGTCATGTTAGAGCCACTCGACTTGAGCCGTGCGTGCAGTTCACAAGGCTTAATTGCCACGCAAAACTGAGAGATGCATGCGGAAAAACTGAAGCTAGCCCTGCACCGAGCCTGGTCGTCGTGGAAACCTGAGCGGGTTCAAGACAGCACGAGGGATGGCAGGGCGTCTTTATGCTTGCAGGCTCGCGCGCGCCAGAATGCACGCTTTACGTCTGCATGCAGAGACTGGGTCGTGCGTCATTATGACGACTGGAAAAGATCCTACATTGGCTCCGCAGGCTGGCAGAAGCACGTCTGCGTGGGCCGGATCGGAGCCGTACAAAAGTTCGTACTCGAGGTGCGAGCTTCTAGTTGGACTGTGCAGTGCGTTCCACGGGCCCGAGCAGATGAAGAGTTCCTCCTCTGGTGCAGGAGCGGTGGGCTCCTCTGATTCCTCGTCGGAGCTGTGCGGGTGCTCTTGTGCGTGTCGTTCCACCAGCTCTGCTTCCGAGTCCGTATCCATAGCCGGGGTGGGCTCTGGGTGCTTATTGAGCACATCTACATCTTCGCTTTCGTTGTGCATGATTTCATGCCTTGATGTGAACATCTCCCAGGCCCCTGCTTGCAGTTGCTGTGCGTCCAGGAGATGCTGCGGGGGCTTTGCTGGCACAAAGAAAGGCGGTTCTGGAACTGGAGCTGCGCCGCCCCTAGCCATGCTGCGTTGCGGTCGCCACCCCTGGGCCAGCTGCGTGCAAAGCTCGCGCTGGAGGCGGAGAGCCTCCAGAGTGTCATTACGACTGTAAAGTCGGAGGCTGTCACGGTGGTGCCCCTGTGCGAGGCGTGCCTGCTCTGCGAAGTGTATTTGCGCAGCTGCTGCCAGCATGGTAGACTTCATGCTGTGCAACGTCAACGCCGACGACTCCGCAGCAGTGAGACCGTCTTGCTGTGCTAAAAATCTGAGGCAGAGCAGTGCGTGCGAATAGCTGCAGGGAGCATGGGAATGTCTGTGGGTGCTTGTGCGAGCCCAGATCTGCATGGAAAAACATGAAGTCTGGCTCTAAGGTGGCTTGCATGCCGACCTCCACCAGGCAAGAAAGCCACTGCAGCAGCCAAGATGATTGCGTGCAACGACCTGTTATGCCGTGCCAGGTGCAGGCAAATGGTTGACCACACTTAGTGGTTTTGGTGGCGTATGCGGTGCCATGCAAACCTTGCGC